GCACGCAACCATGAAGCTCCGCTTCCCTGTTGCTTCTCGTCCTCGTTTCTACCAGTTCATGCTTTTTGTGTTCGCTTCACCTGTGTTAGTGGCCAACTTGAAGGTAAGTATGTTCCCTCTCCTTGTAACAAGTGCTGTGTTTGAAGGCTTTCTTGTGTTCTCTCTTACGTGTCCCTCCCACCCAAAACTTTGGGAAAGGTACGCGCGAAGGCTGGAGCTCATTTGCTAACTCTCGATGTGTTAACCGTTCCGGCTGCCACTTCAGCGTAGCAATCTACTCTCTTCCTCCTGTAGTCCGCTTATACGTCTGAATATAACATAGTTCTGATGGTTGATTAAGGTTGGCTTGGAGTGTCGAACCTCAATAGCTTTATTACCGTACCAAGCAGTACTTCACAAAGCTCCAATGAAGGGACGAGTACCACTACAACTCATAATGCCTCATTCCTAGGGATGAAGGGCAAAAACTAGACAGGGTTTCAACAGAACTTGTGTTTGGAGTCAACAATACCTACTCCGTGACGAAATTAGAAGGCTTGAGAGTTGTTCTTCTGAGTAGGTAGGGCTAAGATGTCATGATGAGTGGCCTCATCATGTCGTTGTCCTCATGCTCCAGTGCGTGGCAGTGCCACACGTAGCCGGGGGCCTCCGTGGCATCAAAGGGGAACTGCTTGCCATTCTGCACATGGTGACATGAGAGGCGATCCAGAGAAGGAAAACAGAGAGGGTTGGCATTGCCAGTACGGTTCAAAAGAAGAAGCAGATAAGTGAAGAGAGGTACGAGAGCGTAGTGAGGAGTGGTCAGTTGGAGGAGCGAGATGCAGGTGCTGAAAGAAGAGGTTAAACCCAGACCAGACTAAAGAGGAATATTTACAGTATAAAGTAGCACCAGCTGTCTCCTTACCTGCCGATTGTATGGGCACAAAGATGGTGAGGACGCTGTCGGGGAATGTAACAATGGCGTCATTTCACCCTACCACCTTCCTCCCCAACCGCATTGCACCGCATCTCACCTGCCCCTTGAACGGCACAAAGATGGTGAGCACACTGTCAGGGAATGCAACAGTGGTGTCCTTCCATCCCCTCTCATGCAGCGGCACGGGCCGGGCCGGCCCGGTGAAGCAGCTGGGCTTGGAGGTAGATGGTGTGAGCGAACAAGTGCCGTTGATTAGCCCGCCAGAGTTGATCGGACGGCGGGTGATGGGGCGGTGCTGAATGAGGTGCAGGTGGATGGGGTGCGTCTCGAATGTCGGGTTGATGATGTGCCAAAGCTCCGAAGTGCCCTGAAAAAGAAAGGGTATGAAAGGCAAGGAGTGACAAAAGCGCACCAGATGTTTTTTAAGAATTCTCACACAGGAGTAATCCGGAAGGAGAGGAGAGCTTGCAAATATTTTAGTTCACTTGCTCGAAAACGCCAAGAGATACTAAAGAACTATATAGATTTACATTACTGTTACCACATGGGTGTACTCGGGTGTCTTGTGCTCACCACTTTGGGCTTCTCAGTAGCAGGATCCATGTAGGCCTTGCCATCCAGCAGCATGGAGCTTGGTTTCTGTGACACCTTGTCGATCACAAACACTAGGGTGAGCCAGCGCTGCTTCACCGACTGCGAGAGGTCCACTGGGGGAATGCGCTGCAGTGCAGAGAGGGACGCAAAGGGCGAGGGGAGGCGGGAAAGAGGGAGAGGAAAGGTGAATGAGAAACTCCGTGGCGAGCCAGCGCTGCTTCAATGACTGCGAGAGGTGCACTGGGGGGATGCGCTGCCGACGGGGAAGTCAACGTGGGTGCGGGGAGGCAGGGAAGGGCAAGAGGCATGGTCAATGGCGCACGTGATGGGCAGCCAGTGCTGCTTCACTGCCTGGGAGAGGTCCACTGGGGGGATGCGCTGCAGAGAGGGAGGGAGCAGTGAATGGGAGGGCATAGAAGAGAGTGAGTGAGTGAATGAGTGAGTGAGTGAGTGAGTGAGAAAGTTCTGTTGTTTTGCTTGAGAAAAGTCCACTAGGGGGATGTACTGCTAGCATGGAGAGGTTTCAAAAGGGGAGGGAGGGAGGTCAAGGAAGAAGAGTGTGACGCCTAATGCATGCTAGACTGGCATGCACTGGAAGAGTGAGACATGACGTGCCAGGCATGCGGCAGACAGAGACAAGTCACCCACCAGCAGACTCTTTTGCAGAGCAGGGGGTTCAAAGGCGAGCACTAGTTGCTGATGAATGGCATGACAGCACCAGGCTATCCCGCGGTGAAGGGGAGCGAGTGCCATGGCAGACAGACAGAGAGCTGGAGAGGCAGAAAGACACACACACTCACGCACTCACCGAAAGCATCTTGGGCAGGGCAGGGGCCTTCACGGGCGAGCGCTGGTTGATGATGAATCGCATGACCACACCCGTGAACCAGTCAGCAGGCTGTCCCGTGGGGAAGGGGATGGAGGCGCTGTTGACAATGATGACATCACGGCACCATCCGGGTGCTGCATTGAAGTCGAGGAGCAGGTCGTGACGCGCGCCCGGGACGCTGAGCAGGAAGGAGCAGCGGAGTGGGCGGGCGAGATAGCTGCCGTCAGAACCGATCTGGCAGGGTGGGGGAGAGGGGGAAAGGGGAAGGTGGGCAGCAGGCGGGTGCAGCGTTGAAGTCAAGGAGCAGGTCGTGACGCGTGCCCGGGACACCGAGCTGGTGGAGCGGCGCAGGGGACGGGCGAGTTAGCCTCCGTCGGAACCGATCTCGCCAGGTGGAGGGAAGTGGGAGGGTGGCGTGGGTGGGGGAGGAGGGGGAGGAGGGTTGCAGAGGTTGTGGGTTAGGACACAGGGCGAGCGAGGACAATCGAGGTAACCACCATCGGAACCGACCTGCCAGATGGAGAAAAGTGGGAGGGTGGGGTGGTTGGGGAAGGAGGGGAAACGGGGGTTGCAGAGGTTTTGGGATAGGCCATAGGCAGTGAAGCGTTGAAGTTGAGAAAGAGGTCATAATGTGTGCCCAGGACGACGAGCAGGAGCGAGCGGCGCAGCGGGCGGGTGAGGTAGCCTCCGCGAGAGCCGATCTGGTTATGGGAAAGCAGATGGGCAAAAGGGAAGCAGAAGGGAAACAGGGAAAAATGGATGGCGGTAAATGGGAGGAGGAACGAAGGAGAGCGGTGGGTACAAGAGGGAAAGAGGAGGGGGGAGAGTGGGAGGGAAAGAAGGATGGAGGGGAGGAGAGGTGGAACTAGTTCCAACCTGGTTAAGAAAAGCACGGGACCTCCAACAGGTGATTAATCTAGTCAACTTGAACGGTGATTAATCGGGTAACGGACATCTTGTTCACATCAGAGAGAGCGAGGGACCTCTTGTTCTCACCAGGAAGAAAGGCAGCACGGGTCCAGCAAGTTGTGGTCGCCACGCCCAGCGCACTGGAAGGTGAGGTTATACGTGCGCGCATTGGCTGCATTCACCATGCGAATCCGGTGCATCGCTCGCCGAACATTGAGGAACGGCCAGACCTGAGGGCCAGCGGTGGGGGAAGGGAATGGCACAACGTGATTAGTCGGAGATGGGGGTGGAGTTGAACCACAATATCAATGCTTACATGAAGCACAAGCTTGCATGGTAAAAAACACACTTAAAGCAAAGCCATCCCTTTGTCTCACCTTCCCGTTTACAAGATTCGTATTGCCAACGTAACCGGGTATCCAGTTCGGGTGTACGTTTGGCACGAAGCCCTGGTTCGGATAATTGATGGATCCGTTGGGGAAAAACATCCTGTCAGCAATCAAGAGGTGCAATTGACGCTCGCCAAGTGGCAGCCACTTCTTCAGCCGCCGCTCCTCGCCCTGCGGGTCTGCGGAGATAACTCTAGTAACGGGAGCTAGACTACGGGCTAGGCACGGATGCTCGTGTGATCTCTGCGTTCGTTGGTCCTTCGTCATTTTCCTAGTGCGCACACTACTTGCTAGTTCACAAGGCAATTTGGCAAGAGTTTCACTAGAGAAAGTTGACAACAATGATACAAAGAAGTTGGCAAGGCAAGACTACATCAGAGCTAGCATGCAAGCAAGTCTATTGCCAGCGCAGCACGGTCGACCGCGTGCCAGCACGACTTGGTCGACCGCACTCCAGCAGTGCAGAGACGCGGCCTGCCATCGCTGCAGGTCGACGGCGTGCCAGCGTTGCTCCTGCAGTCCAGCATCGCACCAGCTTCGCAGGTGCTCGTAGATGATTGGCGCGCACTGCTTCGTCACCTGCACAGCGCACGCACCAAGTCCACCTTGTGCTGACGACTGCATCTCATCTGCCAGGTCGACCTCGGGATACCACCACCGAGGTCGTCCTCGCCAACCTCGCCTGGGCGACCTTCGCGTGCCTTCGCAGACCCTCGTCACCCAGGTAACCTGGGCAACCACGTCGACCAGGTGCTCCTGTGCGTGCCCGTCGACCTCCCAAGTCGACGACCACTCCAAGTCGACCTCACCAGGTCGACCACTGCCTCCGGTATGTGCCGTTCGACCTCCCAAGTCGACGGGCACCTCCCGTCGACCTCCCCAGGTCGACCACTACTCCCTGGTCGACCAGCTCTAGGTCGACGTCACTCCTGGTCGACCAGAAGGGCTGGTCGACTTCCCAGGTCGACCAGAAGGGCTGGTCGACTTCCCAGGTCGACCAGAAGGGCTGGTCGACTTCCCAGGTCGACCAGCCAAAGGTGGCGCCCTCCTGAAGTCGGCGCCCATGCAGTGGCTCCCCGTGCAGGTCGACCAACCTTGTCGACCAACTCGCCCACTGCTGCAGGTCGGCTGCACCCTACACCCGACCACGAAGTCGGCTCCGCCCAAGCGAGGACGGGGCCAACACCCAACTCCCGTTGACAGGGTCGCGGATAACGTAAAGCCCCGCCATCCCTGCTACCACGTTCAGTGCGGTGATCCCAACCGTGTGGTCGTGGTACCACAGCATGGTTGCGCGCTGCATGTTCGGATAGGTGTGCTCTTCAGATTCGAACTCGGATCCGTTCTCTCCGAAGGCAGTGTATTACGCCATGGGGTGGCCGTCGGATTTGCTTGGATTCTCCCCGCCATGCAAATGGACGGCTGCGATGATAACAATGTGAACAGACGGAGGTGATAACACGGAGGGGTTTCAGGAAAAAACGATTAGAAACGCCGGAGATGCGTGCATCGTGCCAGTGAACTGAATGGCGACCACTTTCTGCCGTACTGGAAACGCCATTCACAACACTGAACCGCTTGGAAGTGACTTGAAACGAGGACGGGTTGGTTGGTTGCTAATCTCAACACTACCACAGTCGGTCCTGACTTACTGATTGGCACACCGCCGTTCTTGAGCTTAGGCGTCATAAGCGTCGGGTCAATCGTGAACATGTGCGTCTTGTCCTTGATGTGATTCGCGAACTTAACCTGCGATGGTGAACATATTGGGCAATGGACAAGAGCGAACCAGGGGACTCAACGTGAACAGGGAGAATAAGTGAGCAGGCTGGTGGTAAAAGAAGTTACTACAAGAAGCACATCAAAACAACCATAATCGTCTGACATCATACAATAAGAGAAGCACGAGGGACGGTTTGAAAACACAAGGGACGCTTTAAAAGCTCTCACGAATGCACAAGGGACGCCTTAACAGCTCTCACGAAAGCAGCTCTCACAAAAGCTGCTCGTCTGCTTGTGCGGAGCAGACGAAGGTGCCGTGCACACCGTGCTGGTCACGCTGCTGCTCTCTCCTTGCTTGTGCTGCCGCGCTCACCGTGCTGGTCACGCTGCTGCTCTCTCCTTGCTTGTGCTGCCGCGCTCACCGTGCTGGTCACGCTGCTGCTCTCTCCTTGCTTGTGCTGCCGCGCTCACCGTGCTGGTCACGCTGCTGCTCTCTCCTTGCTTGTGCTGCCGCGCTCACCGTGCTGGTCACGCTGCTGCTCTCTCCTTGCTTGTGCTGCCGCGCTCACCGTGCTGGTCACGCTGCTGCTCTCTCCTTGCTTGTGCTGCCGCGCTCACCGTGCTGGTCACGCTGCTGCTCTCTCCTTGCTTGTGCTGCCGCGCTCACCGTGCTGGTCACGCTGCTGCTCTCTCCTTGCTTGTGCTGCCGCGCTCACCGTGCTGGTCACGCTGCTGCTCTCTCCTTGCTTGTGCTGCCGCGCTCACCGTGCTGGTCACGCTGCTGCTCTCTCCTTGCTTGTGCTGCCGTGCGCTCACCTCGGTGCTGTCGCGCTCACCTTGGTGCTGTCGCGCTCACCTTGGTGCTGTCGCGCCCACCTTGGTGCTGTCGCGCTCACCTTGGTGGTGCCGCGCTCACCTTGGTGGTGCCGCGCTCACCTTGGTGGTGCTGCCGCGCTTCGCGACGAGCACGGGGCCCGGGTAGCGCGCCGAGTCGCGGGAGACACCATATGCATACACCTTGGTGTCGGGCAGGTCACGATGGAATTTCTGAAAGTTGGGCGGACCGGGGGGGCGGGGGAGTGTGGGGAAGGGAAGGGAGAGAGGGGGATGGGGGGTAAAGGGGGGGAAGCGGGGGGAAGAAGGAAAGGAGAGAAGAGGAAGCGGGGAGGGAGACCGAGTGAGCGAGGGAGTTGAGCGAGGGTTTTTGTGAGTAAAAAACTATCATTGTGGCAGCGGGGCCTGGAATGTCGCAAACGCAAATGCGAACGCGAACGGCGCAGGCGGTAATAGTAATAGTAGGGGCGGGAATAGTAATGGATTGCTGCTTGCTGTACAAACAACGTGCACACGTGCCTGGTAGACGTCGTATGCTTTCCTCCCAACAAACTCTCGTAACACTTGCCTGGTAGACGTCGTACGCTTTCCTCCCAACAAACTCTCGTAACACTTGCCTGGTAGACGTCGTACGCGCCGAGTTTGATCGTCTCGCCGGCCGACGCGTCGAGGAAGGTGAGCGGCGACGCGGCGAGGTCGTCGACGAACTTGCACAGCGGCTTCTGCGGAAACCGGTTCACGCACCGCGGCCCCGCCAGGGGTTGCGCGCGCGCCGTCATCAGCACGCTGAGAAGCGCCAAGACGACGGCGCAGAGGCGCGCGAGCGTGGTGGGCGCCATTTTGGCGGTTCGGTTCACGTCTACTGCCGGTGCTCCGTCACGAGAGTGGAAATTGGACGCAGCCGGCGCGCCGCGGCTCGATTACTAATAGTACTATCGCACGCCTCTGCTTCTTCTGTCAGAGAGACAGCAGCCCACCCCCGAGGCAGATAGCTAGGTGAAGGGTGGAAGACAAGGAATGGAAAACGTTGGAACGAGCGGGACGAGAGGAGATGAGCGACGAGGAATGGCTGGCCGCTCTGATCTGATATACGCGCCGAGCGCTCGCATGCGCAGGGCGGGGTGGGGAAGGTCAGCCGGGCCGACAGCGCGTAATGTTGTCGGGAGTTTCGTATGGAATGGCAGCAAGGGCTGAGCTCGGAGGATGCTCAGCGCCTGTTGCTGTCGGGGTTTCGTTCGTGTGGCAGCAACGGCTGAGCTGGGACGGGTACAGTAAGATGCTGCGCCGTCGCGGCTCGGCGCGGTGCTCGCCACGGGATTGGGACGTGTTGCGCTGCGATCCGATGCGATGTGGGTGAATTTACAACGTTCTGTATCTGACTGACATTACCTCAGCTTCCTGAGCCAATGCGATGAGGCGGATGTGCATTAGGGGGGAGGAAAAAATTGCGGCGATGGGGTATGGGATGGTGAAAGCCACGCAAGGGCAGGTCCGCCTGCCTTGCGCGCGGAAACGCTGAAGGCGCATTGGCAGGAAGGCTCGTCGGGTCGAAGCTTGAATTGATGGAAATTGGCGCCTTTGGCGCAATCCCATCAACGTGACCTAGCGCAAGCGATCGCGCCTTCGCCCGTGGTTTTCCGCTCCGCCAGGAGAAACTGGCTTTGTCTTGAGCCTCCCGTCGAAGCTGAATGCTGGGGCACTGAGGGCGTATTCTTGAGTTCGTGTTATCCGGTGTTGGTTTCATCCGAAAACTTTGGAATCCATGTGATTGGCCCGTTGTGTTTTTTTGGTTAATCGCGTGAGTTCCAAAGTTTTCGGATGACACCAACACCGGATGACACGAGCTCAGGAATACGCCCTGAGCCGCAACGGGGTGGTTGGGTGGTATGGTGGGGGATCATTTGGAGGAGGGGGGGAGGGGTTTGGTTTGGGGAGGGGAAGGGAAGAGGGGAGCGGAGTGGTACTGTACAGTAAGCTCGTGCGCTAGGCGACGGAGTGAGGCAACACTTGTGCAAGGGAAACTTGTACTTCAGGGTTGCTGTGCCAAGGGAAACTGTGCCATGCCAACCAAGAGGCCTGGTCCGGTCAGGCCACACCCCCCAAACCACACGAGAGTCCGTTCCGTACAGCAAAGGGAAAGGAAGATGATGGGAAGGCGGCGCCACAGCAGCTCCCTCCTCACCTCACTCGCTGCGACGGTAATCGGCGGCGCATTCCTTCCGAACCGATCGACACGAGCGAAAGGGACAAAGGGCAAGGCAAGGGAGGCGATTTGGAAGCCACAGTAGCCGGCAGTGCACTGTGCAACCCTGCTTTGGGTTTGTCGGTATCTACATATAAAGGGTCTCTTCAATAATGCATGGCGCCCAACTCTATTCTGTAAAAATGCTTATCCCAGTAGCAATGAGTTCCTTTTGCAAATGTGGGCCCATTCTATGTCACATCTCTCACTCACTCTGGGCCATGGTTGTGTTGTTACTGGGCAGAAATACTTTCCTCTCTGTCTATATAGAACCGTACTACAAAGTTATTGGTTGGCTATGTCTGCATCGCGCCCGTCCCTTTCAGAGCCAGCCTCACAGTATACACAATCTCTATTACCAGCTTCACCACCACATGATGGTTCTAGGTGTTAGAATTAGTAGTCAGGAACAGAAATGATGAAAGGGGGTTTGCACTAGCAGCAGTTGGCATACATATAGGAAACCCTGATTGGGTTGTACTCACTACAGAGTACCCCACTGCAGGCTAGACAATAATAACATTCTGACACACCCCCATAGCCAAAGTGGGGTGTAATCAGCACAATGAGCAGGCAATAATTCACAATTAGAAGCAAAGCTAGATGTAATCACAGAGGGCAAGTGAGGAGGAGGAGGGATTGTGAGGGGAGAGAAGATTGGAGACGACGACTGAAGCTGCAGACACACGGGCAACAGGAGCGCGCACACAGTGGCTACCGGGACAGCGCCCCGGACTACTGGAGTAACTGGCTCGGCGGCTACGAGGAGCGGCAAGAGCAACGGACCCACGGGCGACAGGCACAGCAGGCTCTCTGGGTTACCGAGAACACGACGGCTCCGGACTACTGGCGATGAAGGCGACACGACGGCAGGCTACCTCCACGCAACCTCCCCCGACCGTCCCACGCCCCTCTCACACACCCCCTGCTGAAACCCTAGCTCCACTCCCACGGCACCCCCCTTAAACCCTAAACCCTCGGCTCCCACACACCCACCCCCCTCAGCGGCAGCTGCAGCAGTGGGAGACGGAGGAGGAGGAGGAGCTGCAGGTTACCCACACCGGTCACCCCCATGCCCGCCACCCCCAAACCCTAACGCAGGCAGGAGCGCGGGAAGCAGCAGGGGCGGTTCACGGAGGGAAAGGGAGGCGGCGGGGGGGTCTCCAGGGCGCCACGAAGAAGCAGGGCGCGGGCCCCCCGAGGGCGCCACGGCGGGTGACGGGAGGGGGGCCGCGCACGGGCCCCCGAGGGCGGCTCGACGGGCGACGGGAGGGGCCGCGCGCGGGCCCCCAAGGCGCCGCGACGAGGCGACGGGAGGGGGCGGCGCGCGGGCCCCCAAGGCGCCGCGACGAGGCGACGGGAGGGGGCGGCGCGCGGGCCCCCAAGGTGCCGCGACGAGGCGACGGGAGGGGGGGAGGCGCGGGCCCCCAAGACGCCGCGACGAGGCGATGGGAGGGGCCGGCGCGCGGGCCCCCAGGGCGCCGCGACGAGGCGACGGGAGGGGGCGACGCGCGGGCCCCCAGGGCGCCGCGACGGGCGACGGGGGGCAGCGCGCAGGTCCCCGGGGCCGCCACAACGGGCAGAAAACCACCGTGCGAAGCAGGAAACCGCCGCGCGCCTCGGGGCGCACGGCAGGCAGAAAACCGCCGCACGCCCCGAGCGCACAGCGGGATGAAAAACGTCGCGCGCTCCGAGTGCGCGGCAGGAAGAAAGTGTCGCGCGCCCGGAGCGCGCGACAGCAGTAGAGCAGCGGAAGCATCGGGTGGGGCCCACCCACAGGATCGACCCAGGAGGGTCGACCTGCTCTGATAGCATGTCAGAATTAGTAGGCAGGAACAGAAATGATGAAAGGGGGGTTTGCACTAGCAGCAGTTGGCATACATATAGGAAACCCTGATTGGGTTGTACTCGCTATAGAGTGCCCCACTGCAGGCTGGACAATAATAACATTCTGACACTAGGGGCCACCCTTGCAACGTTCCCAGCATTGCGTTCCCCTTTGGCAGCTTCTGTTGCCTTCGCAGTCAATCTTACAACATACCCTGTACCACACCTCCCCAACACAACCCTTTTGCATTACACTTTAACACAACATATGGTATCTTATTCAGCTTTCTTTGAAGGGATTTCACCCTTCCAAGCCCTACATCAACTGCTGGCAGCTCGCATGGCCTTCACAATCATCCTCACAACGTACCCTGTCTCTCCCGCCATCTACCCACTGCCTCACACCCGCACAATCGGCTTCAATGGCTTGCTCCCCCACCATTTCTAACCTTGCTTCCCTCCTTGGCAGCACGCATGGCCTTCATGATCACCTCTGCTCCACAGCATACCCGTCTCTCCCGCCATCTGCCTGCGAGCCACCTGCCTACAGATTGCTTCGGGAACCACCTGCCTCATCACTCCCTTGTTCTGCTTCCCTCCTTCGCAGCTCGCATGGCTTTCATGGTCGCCCTCACAGCATACCCTGCCTCCCCCGCCATCTGCCTGCGAGGCACCAGCACACAGTTTGCTTCGAGACCCAGCCACCTTGCCATTCCACTTGGTAGCTCGCACTGCCTTCATAGTCTCCCTCACAGCATACCCCGTCTCCCCCACCATCTGCCTCTGTCCCCACACCGCATACCCTGTCACTCCCACCATCGCCTACAGCACCGCCTCCGTGTCGGCTGACGTGGCGCTGAGTTACCTAGCGGGTAGCGCATGCGCTTAAAAATTGGGAGGGGCTCTTGAAAGAGAGCCTGCTGCTGAATGTCGGAAAAGATTGCGAGGACTTCTGCAAGAATGGGTGCGAGACAAAAATATACAGAAATATTATGGAAATACAGGTTTCAGATTGTGACAGGCTTCAAGGACATTTCAGGATTTTCCATTTCCAGCTGTAAATTCGTTCATAATATCACTTGTATGAACCACCGCGAGCTTAAGTGTCAAGTGTCTATAGGGTCCCACAAAATCCCACAAAATCTCACCACGCTGTAGGGTCCCATTCGGGAACACTCTCTAAACAAGACCGTTTCTGCACGCCTCGTCCGCAGACAGAACCTGTGACGTCAGCAGCAGATCGTTCGCCAAGGGTCGGCCGAGCATCTGCAGAGGGTCACAGACGAGCCGAACTCGGGCACGAGCGCGATGCGGAGAAACGGGACCTAGAACGTGGCGGAATTTAAGGGAAGGAAGAGGTCGCAGTGCGGACGGAGCGTCACGCCGATCTTGATGGCTCGCCCGTTGACTGCTGCAACCAGAATTTTGGAGAATCGTAGCACGCCACACATGAATTGACCAACGGGGCTGGCGATTGTGTCACAATCTGGGGGGAGATCGACGGTGGAGTTGGCTCGTGGTGTGGATCGAACGGTTGAAGATGAGGCTCCTGCTGGTTGTCCTGATGATCCGACGGCTGCTGTTGATTCTTGCAATCTATTCAGCGCCTCGAGTCTCTCGACGGTCTGCATGAACTCGAGCAAGTCCGTCCCGCTGTAGAATTACTCGCCAGCTACCGTTATAAGAACAATCGTGTAGTGCCATTGGTGTCTGCGCCGGGTAGATCGCGTGCGAGCTCGAGGTATGTCGCTTTGTTGATGGCGTTTAGATTTCGCCGGCGATTGATGGTTACAGTTACCACGGCTCCCTGCTGGCTTACCAACAGGTTCTTGTAATGGGAACCGTCCATCTTTTAACGGGAATGTAGGCACGATACTCGCTATTCACAATGCTCACAATGCGCGTACGATCCTGTGGAATGGCGGAAGATTTCAAGCGTCAGGCAGGCGAGAAAGACGTCCGTTCCTGGAACTGCTTCAAAGGTTCGTTTGTGATCGCTGTTGGCTGAGCTATAAGGCTCGTTCCTAACGCGAACTATAATCGCAGATAGCACGGCTGCCGTAGCAGCAAGATAATGTGATGTGACGGAAGAGGGTGATAAGAAAACTTTACTTATCGACCTAAGTAAAAAATACTATCAGCTGATTGGTGCTCATATGAGGCCGCAATGTTCGGAGGTGTTTCTATGAGGCACTTTGGGCCTCCATCCTACCCATTCGCTATCGCAGAGCGTTTTGCCGAGAATATGCCACGTACGCGTGTGGTATCCCGGCCGACGTGGAAACAAAGTTATGTGTGCTGGCCAAACACTGACTCGTTTAGCAACAGATTTGTATCATTGTATAGCTACAAAAATCTACGAAGTAGCACTTACTGTCGTAAAAGTAGTTATAGTGAGAGGCCATAGCTAGGAGAACCCTAGCTAGGCAAGAGAGAATTGAACGAAAGAGGGGTTTCACTAGCAGCAATGAGGATACATATAGCAAACCCTAGATGGGTTGTACTCGCTATAGAGCACCCCACTACAGGCTAGAGAATAACATTCTGACACACCCCCATAGCCAAAGTGGGGTGTAATCAGTACAATGAGCAAGCAGGTATAGAGCAGGAGTTCACAAAGGTAAGCAAAACTAGAGTTAATCACAGCGGGCAAGTGAGGAGGAGGAGGAACTGTGGAGGGAGAGAAGATGGGAGGCAACGACTGAAGCTGCAGAGGCACGGGCACAGGAGCGGCTGACTCAGTGGCTACCGAAGCAAGGGCGACGGACTACTGGAGTGACTGGCTCCGCGGCTATAGACGAGCGGCAGGAGCAACGGACCCACTGGCGACTGGTGCAACAGGCTCACTGGCTACCGAAGCAAGGGCGACGGACTACAGGCGCTGCAGGCGACACGACAGCTACCTTCACACAACCTCCTCCAGCTGCCCCACACCCTCGACACACACCCCCTGCTGAAACCCTAGCTCCACTCCCACGGCACCCCCCTTAAACCCCAAACCCTAGGCTCCCACACACCACCCCCCTCAGCGGCAGCTGTAGCAGAGGGAGACTAGGGAGGAGGAGGAGGAGCAGGGAACGGCACGCGGTGTCTTCACCCCCATACCCCTCACCTTCAAACCCTAATTCAGGAGAACGGGCTGTAGGAGGGGTGGGGCGCCAGTAGAAGCACGGGGGACAGTGGGGAGGGCAGGGGCAGCGAGGAACGGGCCGCCCACGGGCCTGGCACAGCCGCCCGAACCGCGCGCAGGCGGCCCGAGCCGCGCGCGGGCCTGGCGCTTCCCGTACGGGCCGCGCGCGGGCCTGGCGCAGCCCGTACGGGCCGCGCGCGGGCCTGGCGCAGCCCGTACGGGCCGCGCGCAGGCCACGACGGGCGACGGGAGGCGAGTCGACGGTGGGGGGGTGCGCGCGGGTCCCCGGAGGCGACGCGAGGGTCGACGGGGGCGACGCGACGTGCAGGGTGGGGGCCGCGAGTGCTCCCCAGGGCGCCGCGACGGACGGGCGGGAAACCACGGCTGGAAACCGCCGCGCGCCTCGGCGCGCACGGCGGGCAGGGAACCGCCGCGCGCCCCGAGCGCGCGGCGGGATGAAAAATTGAAGGCCGCGCGCCACGGGGCGCGCGGCACAGAGTAGGGCAGCGGAAGCAGTAGTGGGGCCCACAGGCCAGGAGCGTAACAGCTCTGTTACCATGTCGTAAAAGTAGTTATAGTGAGAGGCCATAGCTAGGAGAACCCTAGCTAGGCAAGAGAGAATTGAACGAAAGAGGGGTTTCACTAGCAGCAATGAGGATACATATAGCAAACCCTAGATGGGTTGTACTCGCTATAGAGCACCCCACTACAGGCTAGAGAATAACATTCTGACACTTACTGGCAGCTTCTCAATTATTGGGGGTATCTTATATGAACGTGAAGGAGAAATAAACGCCGCAAATATTTCTTCAAAACCAAAAAAAGACGGAAAAAAGGCAAAAGCAAAAAATATTAATACCTTTTTAGCATGTGATATATGGTCGTATTTATGAGTTTCTAGCTGTCTTCCTTTACGCCCATTTTCATATTTGCAGTTTGCAGGGGAGAAACAGCACTCTCTAGGCAAACGCGCAATTCAGCAGCGAAGATTCGACGACCTAATCCCTAAGCCTGCAGCTTGCCTGTCACTAGAGCGTGTTACACCCAAGCAAAGATTGCTGCATTTTGAGGATCACGTAGGCGATCCTTACAGAACAGTGTCATACCTACCACTGTACAGTAATCACTGTGTCAGGTGATGTACCAACAGAGGAAGGATCGAAATCACGAGAGATCGTGATACCCGATCTTGGTGTTTTTTGGGAGATCGTGGTGACTGCCAATCTCTCGGTGATCCTTGCATCTTTGTACCAAAGACAAGGTGATCCTTGATGACGAAACTTTTGTTGTCGTGAACTGCTGTAACAAAATCGCGACTAATCAGAGCATTCTTTTGATGAAGTTCGAACCAATAAAGCGGTTGATTTCGGATCAGTAACGCAGTCAACGTGGTCAACAAAAATATCCGACGATCGCGACTGTCGCGTCGTTTCAGGCGACGTCGCCTGGTCGCAGAGGATCACCATTGCAAATTTGCAGATGGTACACCAACAAGGATTGTGATGTGCACCAAAAATTGTTGTTTTGCCACTCGTAATCCTAGGGTTGGGGTTATGGTGATCTTAGCTACGTGATCCTTGAGATCAGGGCAGGTGTAACACGCTCTAATGATAGGATTTCGTCTCAGCTAATCAACCGCGAGCGCCTCGGATCTGGTTGAGTGGGGTGGGTGGGGGGGGGACCCAAACGCGCCGCCGTCGCAAGTTTGGATTGGATGTCGCGAGGCCTGCCGTTTTATCACACAGCCCTTGTATTAGGAGTCGGGCAGCAACAAAAGCAGTCCTTGCTCCATCCGCCCTACTTTCGCGGCAACAGCCACCCAGCCAATTTTTGATACAGCTCAAAAGTTTAGGGACAGCTCAAAACTCCAAAAGTTTACGCAGCCCTATCGGCATTCGGGCAGCAAGAAAAGCATTCCTCGCTTTTTGCAGGCCGTGTTGTGTCCGCCCCACCGTCACAGCCCATTCCCTTATCGGGATGGGGCAAAGGGAGGCCCCCCGAGTGTACTGTACAGCTCGTGCGGGTGCGGTGCGCTGCGCTGCCTCTCCTTCCTTGCCTCTCCTCGCCCCATCCCCTCCTGTCTGCCTAGCCAGTCAACAAACTATTTGACAATGACAGTGACAGCCTCGGCATTGTGCAGGGCTGCACTGGACGGCTTCCATTTCAAGGCATCTTAATTAGTGGCAGTGCTGCAAAGCTTTGTTCCAGTTGAGTCGCCGAGCCGACCTTCACGCTGGTCTGCACATCTGCCAGCTCAAACTACTCTCGACGCAACTCTCGCGACTCGCTCGACTCAACTCTCGCGACTCGCTCGACTCGCATTGCGACACGTGTGACGAGTACAACGCGCGTCGCCGACGGCCAAGCTTAACTTGATGGGGCGGCCCGCGGGGACTCGTTCGAATGCCGCTGCTCGACGTGGCGAGAGCACCAATCGCGCGCGCCTCTGCGCCGTCGTCTTGGCGCTTCTCAGCGTGCTGATGGCGGCGCGCGCGCAGCCCATGGCGGGGCCGCGGTGCGTGAACCGGTTTCCGGATAAGCCGCTGTGCAAGTTCGTCGACGACCTCGCCGCGTCGCCGCTCACCTTCCTCGACGCGTCGACCGGCGAAACCATCAATCTCGGCGCCTACGACGTTTACCACGTGAGTCTTACGGGGGGGAGGAGGAGAAGGGGGGTAGGGGGGTGGGTGACGTCGTACGACGTCTACCACGTGACCGGGGGGGGAAGCGGGGGAGGGGGGGGGGAGGGGGGGGGGGAGAACGGGGCCGGAGGGGGAAGGGTGGGGGTTGTCGTCGTACGACGTGTACCATGCGCGTGCGATTGCTGGGCGATAGCTCCTATGATGATGCGGCGCAGTGCCTCTAAGTTTTCACATTGAGTGACGGCGCGTGCGACGTGTGCCAGGCGAGTGCGATCGCTGAATAGGGCGAATTGGTTGGTGCGTGGAAAGTATCCGGCAATTCCTACGGCTGTTGACGTCGTACGACGTGTTTCACGGCTTGCTCCGCGGTGTTCCGTACAATACGCAGACCGTGGTGGAGCTAACTTTTTATGAGTGCGGTGCGACTCATTGGTTCGCGCGGCTCGCAGAAGCTCATTCGCGTTTTCGTCACAGTGATACTTTTCACCGTCACTCCGCGTGCTTTTCCCCATCGCTCCCATTCTCTTCCACCTCGCTCCCTCACTCGCTCTCCCTCCTCCCTTCTCTCTTTCCCATTCCTTCACCCCCCCCCGCTTCCCCCCGGCCGGCGCAACGAGCAGAAGTCCCATCGCGACCTGCCCGACACCAATTGGCCCTCCCGCCTTCCGCCGCTCACATCCCCCCCCCCCCCCCGCCTCCCTCCCTAATGCGAGCAGAAGTTCCATCGCGACCTGCCCGCCACCAAGGTGTATGCGTACGGCACCTCCCGCGACTCGGCGAGTTACCCGGGCCCCGTACTCGTCGCGAAGCGCGGCGTTACCACCAAGGTATAGAGCGCCACACAGGTGAGCGTCAACTCTCAATAGCTTCACGGTTGCTTGCGCTGCTTCACTTGACGACGCAATCTCGAGTATGAGCACGAGCGCGCGCGCGGTCGCGGAGAACTGGTGATTGGAGGCCGAACACAAGCACGCGCACAGCGCTGCTGCATGGGGGGCTCGTCGCGAAAGCAGCTTCACGGTTGCACTGCTGGTCTGGTGCACCTGAGTCGAGCACTGTATTTCCGCCTCTTGTTCATGAACGTCGTGGGTAAACACTGTCCGTTGCCTTCATGAATCATTTGTCCATCCTGCCTTCATGGTCGCAGGTGGAATTCGCGAACAACATCGAGGACAAGGAGCACATGTTCACGATCGACCCGACTCTCATGGCGCCCAAACCCAAAAACGGGGGCGTGCCAATCTGTGAGTTCGTGTTTCAGTTGTATGCACAGCTCCCGTTTCAGCTGCCAGCAACAATGCGCATCACTCGGTTTCCCATTTCCCATTACAAGTTTCCTGTTTCCCTTCCAATTTCCGGTTTTCTGTTACTAATTAACCAACGGCTCGATTCCAATGCTTCCCCGTGTACTATCATCCCAGCCGTTCATCTGCATGGCGCTGAGGTGCCAAGCCAATCCGACGGCCATCCTGAGGCGTGGTACACGGCCAGTGGGGAGCACGGACCCACGTTCGAATCCCAGGAGCACACTTATCCGAACACGCAGCGCCCTACGATGCTGTGGTACCACGACCACACGGTTGGCATGACCGCTCCCAACGTTGCTTCCGGAATGGCGGGGCTGTACATTATTCGCGACCCCCAGGGCGAGGAGAGGCGGCTGAAGAGGTGGCTGCCACGTGGCGGACGTCAATTGCACCTCCTGATTGCTGACAGGCTGTTTTTTCCGAACGGATCGATGAATTATCCGAACGTGGGATCTGTGCCGAAAGTTCACCCAAATTGGACGCCCGGTCTTAGAGGGGATACAATCGTTGTCAACGGCAAGGTGAGCTCTCGTCATATTAACTACATAGATTAGAAGTAGAAATATATGAGGCTGATTATTTTCAGATTTTATTGCTAAATGTCTTCAAAATTGTCAAGAGTTTATGGTCCTCATGTCGTTTTCCATATCCCACCCCTCAGGTTTGGCCGTACCTCAGGGTTCGGCGAGCGATGCACCGGATCCGCGTGGTGAACGGAGGCAACGCACGCACGTACAACCTCTCCTTCCAATGCGCTGCACGGGGCGACAACAACTTCAACCCCCCTCTTGGCGGACCCGTGCTGCCCTTGTACCTGGTACGGGGACGGACTGTATCTAGCTCACCCATGTATGGAGAGCTCTCTCTCAACAGAGTTTTGCCATTGCATCACAACCAGGTTGTGCAATGCCATGTCATGCTTTCCTCCTTTCCTTTTGCCAGGTTGTGCAATGCCATGTCATGCCTTTTCCTTCTGACAGCGAATACCTTGCCCACCCTCTGCGCCTACTGTCAGTACTCATGGTGACGGGAGTGCTTCACGGCTTGCTTCTCAACCTCAACGCTGCACCCGCCTTGGTGCCCTTGTCCTTTCCCTCCCCTTTCCTCCCCCCTCCTCGCCTTCTCAACTCGCCCTACCGGATTGGTTCCGACGGTGGCTACCTCGCCCGTCAACTCCACCGCCTGTCAGTGCTCATGGCACCAGGAGTGCCAGCTGGTGCCGTGACGTCATCGTTGTCAACTCCGTCCCGCAGCCCTTCCCCGTGGGGTTGGATTCTGCACTCGCCTGGTGCCCTGTCTCATTCCTCTGCTGCTTCGTTCACCCTCTCCCGCCCTCCACTCTCAACCTTCTCTCTCCTCCCTCAAACTACCAGATCGGCTCTGACGGCGGTTACCTCGCCCGCCCTCTCCGCCGCCTCTCAGTGCTCATGGCGCCGGGCGTGCGTCACGACCTGCTCCTCGACCTCAACACTGCGCCCAGCTGGTGCCGCGACGTCATTGTCGTCAACTCCGCCCCGCAACCCTTCCCCGTGGGGCTGAACGCGGACTGGTTCACGGGCGTGGTGATGCGATTCAAGATCAACGAGAAGGCGCCCATCCAAGCACCTCCTCTGCCCAAGAAGCTCTCGGTGAGTGACTCTAGTTCTGTCTGCCCTTCTGCCACACTCTCTCCCCCCTTCCCCGTGGGGCTGAACGCGGACTGGTTCACGGGCGTGGTGATGCGATTCGAGATCAACGAGAAGACGCCGATCAGAGCACCCGTGCTGCCCTTGAAGCTCTCGGTGAGTGTGTGGACGAGGGTGCGGGGGATTGTGTGGCGGTAAGTGCGTGGTTGGGTGCGAGGGTGAGCGTGTGTTTTTGTGTGTGCAGGGTTGCGTGGATGAGCGCATGGGTGATGCTGATTGGTTCACAGCACAGCACCATCGTCTTTCTCACCCTCTCTCTCCTCGCACCCATCCATATGCCTCCCTTCTTTCTTTCAGTACGTTTTTCCAGTGAACATCTCCCGCACACACAGTGCAGCATCACTGGCAGGATTTATTGCTTTACTGCCAACAAGGCACTTTACTAAACAAAACCACTTACATCCTCTTCCCCCACATTTTGAGTCGACTCAAGCAGTCATTTTGAGTCAGCTCAAAAGTCATTACTGCCAACAAGGCACTTCACTAAACAAAACCACTTACATCCTCTTCCCCCACATTTTGAGTCGACTCAAGCAGTCATTTTGAGTCAGCTCAAAAGTCATTACTGCCAACAAGGCACTTTACTAAACAAAACCACTTACATGCTCTTCCCCCACATCTACGCCCCTCTTCTGCCACTCCTTTCTCCCACTCCCCTGCACCACACCCTCACTTCCCGTCTGTCTGCCACTCCTTGCCCCCCCCCTCCCCTGCAGCACATCCCTCCAGTGAACATCTCCCAGGCAGTGAAGCAGCGGTGGCAGGCCATCACCATTCTAACGGACAAGGAGCTCAATAAGACCACCTACATGCTGTTCAACGGCAAGGGATACGAGGACCCGCCCACTGAGACGCCCAAAGTGGTGAGAACAAAGTGTGCATGCTTTTCTTTCAGGGGCGTTGCTTCGATTTGAGGGCTTGGAGCATTCTTGATAAGCGCTTGATTTCTCTTTAGATTCTCTTCTCAACAATTTATGGCCTCTGGTTATATTTTCTTTCTTTCTTTGACGTCCCAGTCTCGCCTTTTTCCTACTTTTTTTTCTCTTATTTCACTATTTTCCTCTAATTCACTCTCCCATACCGTTTCTTTCTGTCTTTCTCCCTTTTCTGGTCTACCCTATCAACGCAGGGCACTTCGGAGCTTTGGCACATCATCAACCCGACATTCGAGACGCACCCCATCCACCTGCACCTCATTCAGCACCGCCCCATCTCCCGCCGTCCGTTCAACTCCACCGCGTATCTCAACGGCTCGTGCTCGCTCCCACCCGCCTCTCCCACCACCTCCAAGCCCAGCTGCTTCACCGGGCCGGCCCGGGCCGTGCCGCAGCATGAGAGGGGGTGGAAGGACAACACCGTTGCATTCCCTGACACTGTTCTCACCATCTTTGTGCCGTTCAAAGGGCAGGTGAGATGCGGTGCAATGCGGTTGAGAGGAAGGTCCTTGCATGGAAAGGGTGCATTCTCCTTCAGGTTTCCAGCATCTTTGCACTCTTCGAGGGTCAGGTGAATTGCAGTGCAGTGAGGTGGGGAGGAAGGTGGAGGTGTGACAGATGGGTGCCACGGTTTTTCTGTTCTCACAGCATGCTCATGCTCATGCTCATGCTAGGCCCCTTGTGTCTTGACCCAACTGCTTCTTCCCCTTGCTTATCCCAAGTGCCTCTTACCTTTGCTTGTCCTAACCGCCCTTCAACCCTTTCGTGGGCAGGATGGCAAGCTGTTCCCCTTTGATGCATCCAAGGGCCCGGGCTACGTGTGGCACTGCCACTCTCTGGGCCATGAGGACAACGACATGATGAGGCCACTCCTCATGACCGCTTAGAACCACTGACTTGACTAACGCTGGTTATGACTAGCTTCGTTGGGAGATCATGGAACGTATCGTTCCAAGTTGGGGTTGATGACATTGCAACCTTCTTCCACGTTTTGGGATTGTTGTTGACGAGTGCTGGTTGCAAGGCGGCATATTCAGTCAGTCCGGCTCTTGGGCATGCGTGTACTCTCGATTTTTGTGTCCTTGAATATGTGTCTAGTGGGGGTTGGGTTGGGTTTGTTTGGTTCAGGGTGTTCAGTGAGTTGGGGTTGTAGGACTGTCTGGACTTAGGTAAAGTGGAAATAAACAAGCGGAATTTATGGGTAGCTTGGAAACAACTGTGCTCGTATCTGCCCTGCAGCTTGGTGAGCATGTATCATTAAAGATGCAATTAACAGTTTAGAGAAGAGAACCTCCTTGCCATTCTACGAATAGGTAGTGCTAGGCTTTTTCATCAACTCCTTGTGCTGTCTAAGTAGGCTGTCATTTGCACACCCTCACTTTGATCCATATTCTTTTATTCTGAAACGGATCCTTTATAACGGTTACGGTGCCTGCCATGACTTCGACTCGATGAAAGAATCTCCTATGCTCTTCACTGTGGTATGTGATCCCTGGTCAGCCGTAGGAAGTGGCGCGAGCGCAGCTTTACTCGCTCTTCAGGAGCTTGTTCGGCCAGCGCTATACGGCACCTATCGTCACACGCTTCTTAATCGACGTTTCTACTCGACGAGAATGCCGCCGGAAACCCCTTGCAGCGGTAGTTGACGCGTCGCGGATTTATCGAGGAGCCTTTTTCTCTCCGCCTCCCCGATTGATGCGAAAATGCCGTCGCTTTGGCGTTCTTTAAAAGCCAAATACAGTGAATCAGTGTAAATCGGCGTGAAGAGGCGGTAGACTTGTAGGATAACTCGGCTCGTTATAACGGGGGAACGCCGCGTGAGCGCCGAGTTAGTAAGGCGGAGTTAGTTACGCGGAAAAAAAGTAACGCCAGCTTAAGCCGAGTTATCGCCGAGTGATCGCCGATTTAGCGCCGCGGTAGCGCGAGCCAATCATGTTCTTCCACGTGGTGCTGGAGAAGAAGCTCCAGCTGCATCCGCGGCACTTCGGGCCGCACCTTCGCGAGAAGCTCGTTTCGAAACTGGTGGCCGAGGTGGAAGGCACGTGCACGTGAGTATAGCGAGGGGATGATTATGGCACGGGATGATGTAAGAGTTTGTGGATATACGCGAATATAGCGAGGGCAGGTGGAAGGCGCGTGCATGTGATTATAGCGAGGGAGGCGGGTGGAAGGCATGAGCACCTGACTATAGGGTAATGAGGTGAAAGGCATGTGAGTGTAGCGAAGCACCTCAATCCCCTCTCTTGTATCTTATCCCCTCTCATCCCCCTGCCCATGCCCCCTTTCCCCGCCCCCGCTCTTGTATCTTATCCCCCCTCATCCCCTCTGCCCATGCCCCGTTTCCCCCGCCCCTACTCTTATTCCCCTTATTATCACCACAGGGGTCGGCATGGGTTTGTGGTGGCGGTAACGACAGTGGAGAGTGTGGGCATGGGGATAGTGCTACGTGACCTTCCCCTCTTTTTTTTCCCTCTCATCCCCTTTGCCCGTGCCCCCTTCCGTCTGCCCATGCCTCATCACCACCAGGGGGCGGCATGGGTTTGTGGTGGCGGTGACGACAGTGGAGAGTGTAGGCACGGGGATAGTGCGGCACGATACGGGCTACGTCACCTTCCCTGCTCTTATCCCCCCTCACCCCCGCTGCCAATGCCCCCTTCCCTCCCCCCCCCCCCTTACCAACAACAGAGGGCGGCACGGGTTTGTGGTGGCGGTGACGACAGTGGAGAGCGTGGGCACGGGGATAGTGAGAGACACCACGGGCTATGTAACCTTCTCTGCTCCCATTCCCCCTCATCCCGCCTGCCAATGCCCCCTCCCAACCCCCCCCCCTCCCTGCCCGTATCCCCCGTATGACCGCCAGGGGTCGCCATGGGTTTGTGGTGGCGGTGACGACAGTGGAGAGCGTGGGCACGGGAATAGTGCGAGACGACACGGGCTATGTGACCTTCCCCGTGCGCTACCAGTGTGTGGTGTTCCGGCCATTCAAAGGGGAGATTCTTGAGGGGGTGGTTACCACCGTTAATAAGGTACGATGGGTCAACGTAAGTCAACGCGAGTCAATGTGGGTCAACGTGAGTCAATGAGAGTCAATAAGATGGCTATAAAGTTGACCCACAAGTCACCCCGTGCGCTACCAGTGTGTGGTGTTCCGGCCGTTCAAGGGGGAGATTCTTAAGGGGGAGATTACCACCGTCAGTAAGGTACCATTCGCACCACCATCAACACAAGTCAACGCGAGCCAAAGCGAGGCAACAGAATGATGTTTTAGTCGACTCACAAGTCACCCCGTGCGCTACCAGTGTGTGGTGTTCCGCCCGTTCAAGGGGGAGATCCTTGAGGGGGTGGTTACCACCGTCAGTAAGGTACCACCAGCACAGTCAACGCAGGTCAATGAGAGTCAGGGCAAGTCAGTTTGAGTCAATGCGAGGCAGTGCCAGTCAGTTCATTTCAGGGCAGGTCAATAATGGAAAACAACCACAGCGGCACATCATCCCTCTCTGTTATCGCACAGTGCCTTGTATCACTCTCATGTTTCACGTGCCTCTGTAACATCACCACACCAAAACCATGCTCTCCACTTACCTGCCCCACCCTGCCCCCAATCCTGCCCCACGCCGCCCCACCCTGCTCCCCATCCTGCTCCCTATCCTGCCCCCCATCCTGCCCCCCATCCTGCCCCCCATCCTGCCCCCCCCCGCATCCATGCCTGCAGATGGGATTCTTTGCTGAAGCAGGCCCCGTGCAAATATTCGTGTCCAACCATGTGAGTTGTGGTGCTTGAGCCGGCTTTAAAATCATATCTTTAAATGGGCGGCTTCTGGGTGACTTGTGAGTCGACCCAAGAGTCACCTCTTTGCTAAAGCTAGCCCCGTGCAGATATTTGTTTCCAATCCAACCATGTGAGTTGCTGACCGTGTCGGTAAGATACGGCTTTGTTTTGAGGCGCCTCGATAGTTGTGTGAGATGATTCCTTTCTTGGCTGCTTAATTTTTGTATGAGAGGACTGGTTGACACAATTTTGATTATCCATGGATAGGTGAAGATAAATGGAATCAGTTTTTTGCTGTGAACGTATATTGTGTTCACATGTGTGCAATGTGGCCTGTGCGCGAGTGCATGTGTGAGCGTGTTTTTGCATGTGTGTGTGCATGTCTGTGAATGTATGTATTTGGCATGTGCATGTGTGCCTGTTTGTGCGCATGTGCATGTTTGCCTGTCGGTGCTGTGCGCATGTGCATGTGTGCCTGTCTGTGCGCATGTGTATGTGTGCATGTGGTGCATTCGGTACTATGTGGTGGATGTGCATGTGCTGCGTGTGCATGTGCTGCGTGTGCATGTGCTGCGTGTGCATGTGCTGCGTGTGCATGTGCTGCGTGTGCATGTGTCGCGTGTGCATGTGGTGCATGTGCATGTGCTGCGTGTGCGTGTGGTGCATGTGCATGTGGTGCATGTGCATGTGTCCCTTCCTCTCTGCCCTCAGCTTATTCCTGACGACATGTCCTTCACACCGGGCGACATCAACAGCTACCAGACAGAAGACGGCACGGTGAGATGTGGTGCTATGTGGTGAGACGCAGTGCCATGCGGTGAGATGCGGTGATAGGGATGCCGTGATTAACTATGCAGGACACCAGTGTGCGAGGCCTGCAAAGTGGTGATGTGCGGTGATACTCGGTGGCATGCGGTGGGTGGTGAAGCAGGCAGGCTAGCGCTGTGAGAAACAGTGAATGGGCGCCTAATCTCCTGTTTTGCCTCTACATCTGATTTAAAGTAGGATCCTATTTTAAACACTACAGATTCGATTCTTATCGAATGTCCAATTCTTGCCTGCTCATTCCTGTGTTTCTCTCTCCCTCTGTCGCTGCTGCCCTGCTCTCTTTGCTGTCCTACTATTGCTGCTGCCCTGCTATCGCGCTCAGGTGAAAATCCAGGCAGACAGTGAGGTGCGGCTCAAGATAGTGGGCACGCGGGTCGACGCCACAGAGATTGTGAGTGGGAGAGTGAAGTAGTGGGGACATTCGATAGGGACATGCACCCATCCACATGATGTGAAGAGGCACGTTAGAACGGTGCAAGTCCAGGCGGACAGGGGGAGGTGCGGCTCAAGATAGTGGGCACGCAGGTCGACGCCACAGAGATTGTGAGTCTGAGTGGAGCGGGTAAGTTGAAGCAGGAGCTGTGCCCTTGAAGCAGGAGCTGTGCCCTTGAAGCACAAGCTGTGCCCTTAAAATTGCATGTGCATTTGCATTTGCATGTGCATGTGATGCACATGCGCATGTGCTTGTGCATTTGCATGTGCATTTGCATATGCACGTGCGTTTGCATGTGGATGCGCATGCGCATGTGCATGTGCATTTGCATGTGCACGTGCATTTGCATGGGGATGCGCATGCGCATGCGCATGTGCATGTGCATTTGCATGTGCATGTGCATGTGCATGTGCATGTGCGTGTGCATGTGCATGTGCACCCCCCCTTCCCCCCCACACCACACTTACTCGCACTGATATTCATCCACACACATACACACACACACACACACACACACGCACGCACGCACGCACGCACGCACGCACGCACGCACGCACACACACACACACATACACACTAAAAAATTCAGACGTTCACATGCTTCCACTCCCAATACTTCTCCTCTCCCCCCCCCCCCTTCTTGTTTCACCACTTTCCCCTGCACAATTCTGCATTGGGACCATCAAGGACTCGTCTCCGAAGGGGGCGCCCCCATTTGAACGTTTGAGTCGATTCACAAGTCAATGCGTCTTCTTTCCCCTACATTTACCTTCTTCGTTTCCCCTGCACAGTTCTGCATTGGGACCATCAAGGACTCGTCTCCGAAGGGGGCGCCCCCATTTGAACGTTTGAGCCGACTCACAAGTCAATGCGTCTTCTTTTCCCTGCATTTACCTTCTTCGTTTTCCCTGCACAGTTCTGCATTGGGACCATCAAGGACTCGTCTCCGAAAGGGGCGCCCCCATTTGAACGTTTGAGCCGACTCACAAGTCAATGCGTCTTCTTTCCCCTGCATTTACCTTCTTCGTTTTCCCTGCACAGTTCTGCATTGGGACCATCAAGGACGATTATCTCGGACTCGTCTCCGAAGGTGGCGCCCCCATCTGAAGAGAGACGGGTCGGGCTGGCGTATGCTAAAGAAAACTCTTGTTAGACGATGTACTGCAACAACCCTCTTCATCCCACCTCCCCCCCCCCCCCCCCCCCCCCCTTGAAAAAAAAACAAGAGTCGACTAGATCGTCTTAGGGTTGCGAAGCTTTTTGCGTAATCACATAAATTTGTACAGCTTCTAATTCTGTACATTTGCTGTAGTATGACACTAAGAGGGACAAAATTCGGCAAGGATTCAAAATTTCACATCAGCTGGAACCGAACTGGAGACCTTACGATTACATCTTCACTCCTAAGTCAACTGCGACAGCACCGACACGCGTTTCGTGCCACGAAAAATATAAGTCATTGTTTCTTGCGATGAATCCAAGACTCTCCTTTTTTTCTCCCGCTGCTCCTTCTCCCTAGTTAAAGCCAGGGTCTCAAGTAAGCAAAGCAGCCATCAACTGCAAAGCAGTTGAAGATAGGTTACCTTGTTAGTGCAGGCGAATTTCTCTTTGGTTGGGTTGGAAACCTTCTCCCGTCAGTGCCTCAAAAGCAATTGCACAACAAGTTTTGAGTACGTGAGACTTTCGACGAGTCTGGGGCATTTTAGGTTTGGTTCCGAAGCAAATTTACAAACCTAGGAGGTTCGGCTACACCTAGCGATTTGGATTCGTTTCGTACCCCTCGCTTCACCCCTCTTCAAACTTCACAACTCGCCAACCAATCACACACAAACTTGCACTGTCGACTGCAAAACACTTGTAGTACATAAGACCCTGGCTTTAAGCTCCCCGCCAAACACGCTCCACCTACTAGTGCAAGGTAAGAACCACCCTAACTTATCATTTTGAGCCAAATTAGATCATTACACGCTAGACTACCATTTCTTGGTCTCATATCGTAGTCGTTTAGCATAGTATTGGCCGCATGTTGTTTAAGGCTTAGGTTCTAGAATTGTTGTAGATACTTTAGCTTTAGGTCTTTCACTAGATTTGTGTCTTTCAGTTTTAAATGTCGTTCAACGTTCGTTCGCATTCAACTATGCACGGTTTAGGCATATCTCGGTGAGTTCGTAGCTAGGTGCGTTTATTTATTTCATTTCCTTTCCTTTCGCCTTTCATCTATTTTTCTTACCCGTTCCTCTTTCCATCTTGATCTTAACGTTAGTTTTTTTGTTAGCCATTAGCTTCTCTTGCACCTCGTTTGTTTCCACCATTCGTTTCTCTTGTTACATATTTGTTTTCTTCCATGGTTATCTTTTCTTTGTTAGCCTGAACGCGTTCCTTCTAGTTTTATTGCTCGTGCTGAGAACCTAATTCCCAATCTTTTGAAATCTCTCTCTCTCTCTCTCTCTCTCTCTATCTCTCTCTCTCTCTCTCTCTCTCTCTCTCTCTCTCTCTCTCTCTTCTCTCTCTCTCTCTCTCTCTCTCTCTCTCTCGTTCTCTCTCTCTCGTTCTCTCTCTCTCTAACTCTCTCTCTCTCTCTCTCTCTCTCTCTCTCTCTCTCTCTCTCTCTCTCCTCTCTTCTCTCTCTCTCTCTCTCTCTCTCCTCTCTCTCTCGTTCTCTCTTTTCCGTTCTGTCTCGTTCTCTCTTTCTCGTTCTCTCTTTTCCATTCTGTCTCGTTCTCTCGTTCTCGTTATCTCGTTCTTTTTCTCTCACGTTTTTTTCTCGTTTCCTTTCCATTCTTTTTAACGGTCATTGTTTTTTTGTAAGTCTGCTTTCTGCCTCCTCATTTCCTAGTGTTACTTAGATCGTTTTCCCTTTATTTCAGATCGTGTTATTTGAGTCGTGTTTCATTTTTTCTCTTGATTTTTATAACCGTTAATAGGATTTTTTTATAACCCATCGCAATAGGTTAATCGCCTTTTTACAAGTCGTTTTCTATATTTAGCTCGCTTGTCCTAAGCCTTCCTCTTATTTGCTGTTTTTTGGACGAGAATCTAAACTTCCCCTCCCTCCCCTCTCTTTCCCCCCACCACCCTTCCCTCCCCTCCTCCCCCCCCCCCCCCCCCCCCCCCCCCCCCCCCCCCCCCCCCCCCCCCCCCCCATTTTTAATGTTCAGAGGCTTTACTATTTCCTGCGTGCTGCCAGGATTTCTTATGAAGTGTAACGATAATAGTCGTGACTTGTAGAGCTGTATTGTATTGATAAATCTTGTTTGCATTTGTTTTATTGTTTTTACTGTTTTTTTTTCATTGCCCTTTTGTGTGTGAACGGATTCTGTCTGAGTTGTGTGCATATCGGTATGTGTGTCAGTGCGTGTCTTTGTGTGTACACACTCATCCGTATGCATCTGTCATCGCATTAACAATGCGGATCTGTGGGTTTTAAAAAGATGGTCAAACCATCATTTCCGAGAAGGTTCTTTGCGCACTCAGTGAGTGTGTCCACTTGAACTGGATTTGATGGATCTTGATCATTTTTTTAATTTACACAGATTGTGTTGTTTCATGTAACGGTTGGATGATTCAGAAACTATGCTATTGAGCTCCCCCCATGCTAGGCAGGGGATGCGGTAGCATAGAGCCTGTGTCAATTAACTGTTACGCATTTCCATCATGCTAAGCATTCATTTAACTACGACTTAAAGCTGGAAAATATACTATGGTATATTTACCACAGTAGCATATGCATTATATTTATGCATTGTTCATTCAATATTTGGTTCACCATATCCATCATTATACTTCATCTATGCATAACATGGTACGGAATAGACAGTCATGTTCATGTTTGATCCATACAATATACGGGTAGGTTCAGTCGAGGCAAATGAGAACGAATGTGGCGAATTGCCGAGGCAAATACATACCGTAGCAGTCAATCACTTACCATTGTCAAACATTATATGTTTATATGATTGTAGGCTGTAGTGGGTTACACCTTAGGGGGTACACTAGATTAGGGTTTCCTACTTGTATCCAACTTTGTGCTAGTACAGTCATTCCTCGTTCAGTTCTTCTGACATGGTTTCAGAGCAGGTCCTTCGCTAGGACCGTTCTTAGGGCCCACCGCTACCTACCTACCTACCTACCTATCGTGCGCCCTCGTGCGCCTACGCGCCCTAGTGCGCCTCCTACCTACCGCGCGCGCGCAGCCCGCCAGCCACTCGCGCGCGGCTCGAATTTTTTTTTTTTTTTTTTACCGCGCGCGCCTCGCTAGCCGCCCGCGCGCGGCCGATTTCTTGAGCGCGCGACCAGCTAGCCGCCCGCGCGCGCTCGCACCGCTAAAGCGCAGCCGCCGCGGCCCCGCCGGCTCGCACATTGCCCCCGCGCGTAACCGCCTGCGCGCCGCTGCAGCTGCCGTCGCTCCGTCGCCCGCTGCTGCTGCCACTACCACGGTCCCGCCGCTGCAGCTACAGCCTGCGCGTCGCCCGCAGCCCCTCCCGCTCGTACGCCGCTGCCGCTGCCGCCCGTGCGCTGTTGTCGCGCCTGCTGCCACTGCTGCCCGTGCGCCTCTCCTGCGCCTGCTACCGCTGCCGCTGCTGCACTCGCTCCCGCTGCAGCCGCCGCTACTGCGCCCGCTGCCGCTGCCGCCCGTGCGCCTCAGCTGCTGCCGCTCGTGCGCCGCTGCTGCTGCCGCCCGTGCACTACCCCTCCTTCGCCGCTGCTGCCGGCCTGTCGACCCTGCCGCTACCGCCCGTGCATTTTTTTTTAGTGGCCCCGCCGGCCCCGTTGACACCGCCCACAGCTTCCCTGCGGCCTCATTCCTACTGTTTCTACCGCTACTGCTACTGCCGCTATGGCTACTCCTACTGTACTTACTTTCGATGCTGAGGGCCGTCCAGTGAAGTTCGAAACCTGGCTCGATGACCTCCACCTCTTCCTACAGCTCACTGCTAGGAGGACATTTCACTGTACGACCATGCCCTAGGCCATGCTACTGCCCCTCCTACCACTGCTGACAGCACTCAGCGCTCACAGTGGCAGACTCGTGACGCCCACGCTCGTTTCGCTATTCGTAACTCCCTCGATGAACGCGAGCACTTTGGCCAGCACAAAACTGCTAAGGACCTATACACTGCTGTAGTCGCTCGCTACTCCTCACCCGCTTCTGCCACACTAGGCCGCCTCACCCTCCCTACCTGTTCCCCGACCTGGCCTCCTTTCAGACAGTTGCTGACCTCATCACCCACCTTAAGACTAGTGAGGCCCGCTTTCGCGCTGCTATGCCTGACGAGTTCCTTACTAGCAACCCCCCCCGCTCTGGATCACTCTCTACCACATAGTCACCCGCCTCCCCGACTCCCTGCGCACAGTCAGGGACCACTTCCTCTCTCGCTCCCCCACTGAACTCACCATTGCCCTCCTCGAGAAGGAACTGCTTGCAGCTGAGGCGAGCATCGTCGCTGTAGGCACCTCTCGTGGCGACCCTCGCACCCCGTTCTTTGAGGGGTGTTCCCCTTCCCCTCTCCTCCCCTCTGTCGCCTCTGCTGCTGCTGTCGACCTCCTTGGTGCTGAGAAGGTCGGGACCGCGTCTGCTTCGAGCGGGCGCCGCAAGAGCAAAGGGGGCAGGGTGGAGGTGGAGGAGGAGGAGGTGGGGGTGGAGGCGGTGGGAGTGGAGGAGCGGCTGGGGAGGCTAGTGGGCAGTGGGGGGTGGTGACAGCAGCGGCGGGAGTGGCGGCAGGGGTGGAGGCGGCAGCGGCGGCGGAGGCGGAGGTGGTCGTGGCAGCGGCAGGGGTGGAGGTGGCTGAGGGCGGTGGCGGCGGTTGTTGGTGGTCGTGGAGGCTGCTGGCGTGGTTGTCAGCAGCCCGCCCCGTCGCTTCAGGCCGCCCGTGAGTGGTATGCGCAGCGTGGCTTTACCTGCACGTACGTCATTCGCACTGGTGACCGCACTGGCCAGCAGTGTGGGAGGCCGCACCCCACGCAGCGCTGTTTCGCGCGCCTTACCGACGCGTGGCGTGCCCAGTTTCCTGATGCCACTGAGCTGCCCCGCTGGGCTGATCTGGAGAAGAAGGGAGTTGATATCTGGGCTTTAGACTTTGATGCTATTCTCACTGCCATGTATGCAATGTTTTTAGTGGAGAGGGTGCTCAGTACTTGCGTGTTCCGCCCGACCCGGGCATTCAGACCAGTCCGGCTGCCGCTCTAGGTGCTAGTGAGTCTGCTGCCCCAGGTCCTGGTGAGGCTGCTGCTCTAGGTGCTAGTGAGTCCGTGCCCGCTGGTACTGAGTCGACTGCAGCACTGCACACCTTCACACTGGACTCAGGTGCTTCTCGCTGTTTCTTTCGTGACCGCACTGTCCTTGAGCCACTCGCTCGGCCAGTTGCTGTCTCCCTCGCTGACCCTCTGGGGTCCGGTCGTTGCGACCTCCTCTACTGTCCTTCCTTGTCCTGCGGTCCCGTCAGGCACACTGTCAGGTCTCTACCTCCCCTCGTTCTCTACGAACTTGGTGGCAGGTAGTGCGCTCCAGGACAGGGGTGTTCACCAGTTCACCCCTGCTTACGAGCGCGTGACACACTGCACGTGTGCTCGGACAGGCCGTCACCTGGCTACCTTCACTCGGCAGCCGGGGTCGGACCTGTACACACTGACCACTGCGTCCCCTCAGGTAGCTGCGTCCGCGTCTGCGTCTGCGTCAGGTCAGCTGTCCGCCCCCTGCTCGTGTCGCTCTCTGGCGCATGAGACTGTCCTCTGGCACCACCGCCTTGGTCACCCGTCTGTGCAGCGCCTTCGGGCCATGCACAAACGGGACCTTGTTGCTGGTCTTCCCAGGGTTCTACCTCCCCTCCCACCCTCGCCTGCTCCTCCCTGTCTTCCCTGTGTCGAGGGGTGGCAGCGCGCCGCTCCTCACTCCTCCTCCTTCCCCGACGACTGCTCCCTTACAGACGCTCCACATGGACGTGTGGGGCCCAGCCCGCGTCCGTGGTCAGGGTCAGGAGAGGTACTTCCTGATTGTTGTTGACGACTTCTCGCGCTACACCATGGTCTTCCCCTTGCGCACCAAGGGTGACGTCCCTGATGTCTTGATCCCTTGGATCCGCAGATCTCGTCTCCAGCTCAGTGAGCGCTTCCGCTCCGACTTCCCTGTCCTGCGTCTGCACTCTGACAGAGGTGGTGAGTTTTCCTCTGGCCTCTTGAGGGCCTTCTGTCAGCAGGAGGGCATTGAGCAGTCGTTCACGCTTCCGGCCTCTCCACAGCACAATGGGGTTGCTGAGCGCCGCATTGGCTTGGTCATGGAGGTCGCTCGTACCTCCTTGGTTCATGCGGCTGCCCCCCACTTTCTGTGGCCGTTTGAAGTCCGATACGCTGCGCATCACCTCAACCTCTGGCCCCGTGTCTCCTTACCGGAGACTTCTTCGACACTGCGTTGGACGGGAGAGGCTGGCGATGCGTCGCGTTTTCGGGTCTGGGGATGTCGAGCTTTGTTCGCGATACGTCCGCGGACAAGCTCTCCCGTCGAGCTGTCCCCTGTGTCTTCCTTGGCTTTGTCCCGGACGCGCCTGGTTGGCAGTTCTACCACGCCACCTCGCGTCGTGTCCTGGCCTCTCAGGACGTCACTTTTGACGAGTCCGTCCCCTACTACCGCCTCTTCCCCTACCGCACTGCCCCGCTCCCCCCCCGCCTCTCTTCCTCGCTCCAGGTGCTTTGGTACCAGACCCCCTCCCCCCTCAGGGTGCCGCTCCCTCGGTTGTGTCCCAGGTAGACCCGGTTGAGCCTGTCGAGGTAGCTGTTGACTCTCGTCCTGCTGGGGGTGCTGGCCTGACCGTGAGGAGTCTGGGGGTGCTGAGCCTGGGGGTGCGGAGCCTAGGGGTGCGGAGCCTGGGGGTGCGGAGCCTGGAGGTGCTGAGCCTGGGGGCGGGAGTCTGGAGGTGCTGAGCCTGGAGGTGCTGCGTCTGGGGGTGCTGCGTCTGGGGGTGCTGAGCCTGGGGGTGCTGAGCCTGACCGTGCTGAGTCTGGGGGTGCTGAGCCTGGGGGTGCGGAGCCTGGAGGTGCGGAGTCTGGAGGTGCTGAGCCTGGGGGTGCTGCTGTCTGGGGGTGCTGTATCTGGAGGTGCTGAGCCTGCGCTTGCTACACCTGGAGGAGTCCTCTCTCCAGCTGCAGGAGAGGTACCTACAGTACTGCCGCCTCCGGAGAGGTGCTGCTGGAGCTCGTACCAGTACTTCCCCTCCTGCCCAGGAGCTCCCCCCCATTCAGCAGATCCGAGAGTGGTACGCGCGGCGCTGCAGTCTTCGGAGTGGTGCTCCTGGTGCTGCAGACCCTGGGGGTGGCGCTGCTACTGGTACTGAGGACCTGCGCGGTGGCGCTACTGCTGCTGTTGAGGACCCGGGCGTTGGAGCTGCCGCGGGTGCTGAGGATCCGAGCGGTGGCGCTTCTGCTGGTGCTGAGGACCCGGGCGTTGGAGCTGCTGCTGGTGCTGAGGACCTGGGCGGTGGCGCTGCTGCTGGTGCTGAGGACCTGGGCGTTGGAGCTGCTGCTGGTGCTGAGGACCCGGACGTTGGAGCTACTGCTGGTGCTGAGGACCCTGCGCTGGGTGTCTCTGCTGGTTCTGGAGACGCTGCGCGGCCGCGACCGTACTTCGTACCGCTCCTTCAGGGTTCTTGGTCAGGGCTCCTTCTCCCTGTCCTCTTCAGTAGAGTGTCCTCCGCCTGTCCAGCCGCAGTCACAGTTACCGCCTGCCTCGCCTCTCCCTGCTCCCTCTCCTTACACTGGTCCCACGGGAGGTCTTACGGAGCGTCGTGAGCCTGAGTCTCGTCCTGCGTCGCCTGTTCGTACTGCTCGCATGGTCGTCGTGTCCACGTGAGCGTCCCCTCTCCTGTCCCTGGCACTCACTACATGACTCTGCGTCCCTCCACTGCTCCTCAGCGTGTCCCGCTACCGTCTCCTCCTGCTTCCTCTCTTCCTACTCTTCCTGACCCGGAGTCTGACTCCCGTCGTGCTGCCAGTCCCACTGTCACGCGTCTCCTCGCTACTGTTGTCACCGACCCTACCTTTGAGTCCTCTGCTGCGTCTGCGCTGGTCGCTGAGTTGGTTGACTTTGCTGCCCGCTGTCGTCTAGACTACGCCGCTAGCCTTGTCGCTGAGTCTGCGTCTGAGTCTGTCTGTCCTCCGTCCGTCGTGGGTGAGTGTGCTCTTGGCACGGCGTCCTTGAGGACAGAAGGGAGGAGTTCCAGTGCCTTGCTGCTGTTTTGCCCGTCTCTCGTGTCCTTACTAGTTGCCCCTGAGGGAGACCCGGATGCTCCTGACATCCCGACCCCGCGCACTTACGCTGAGGCGATGGCGGGTCCCTACTCCTCTCAGTGGCAGACAGCCATGGACGCAGAGACGGTTCCTGGAAGTCCACAGGCACCTACGTCGACGAGGTTCCCCCACCTGGGGCGAACATCGTCAGTGGCATGTGGATTTTCAGGGTGAAACGGCCACCGGGTTCTCCTCCTGTCTTCAAGGCGCGCTACGTTGCTCGAGGCTTCAGTCAGCGAGAGGGAGTAGACTTCTTCCAGACCTTCTCCCCCAACCCGAAGATGACCACTCTTCGGGTGCTGCTACACATAGCCGCTCAGCGCGACTACGAGCTTCACTCACTTGACTTCAGCACTGCTTTCTTACAGGGCAGCCTGCACGAGGAGATCTGGCTACGTCGCCCACCTGGCTTCACTGGGTCGGTTCCTCCTGGTACCCAGTGGAGGCTCCAGCGGCCGGTCTACGGTCTCCGCCAAGCGCCACGTGAGTGGCACGACACACTGAGGACGACACTTGCGGCTCTTAGGTTCGCTCCCTCTACTGCTGACCCGTCACTGTTTCTACGCACTGACACTTCGCTCCGCCGTTCTACATCCTCGTGTACGTCGAGACTGGTCTTGCCACTGCTGACACCGCGGCACTCGCCCCAGTGAAGTCGGGCTAGCTACAGAGGAGACATACGTGCACAGACCTGGGTGAACTGACGAGCTATCTTGGCTTGCGGATCACCCCGGACAGAGCACGGCGCACCATCACCCTGACTCAGTCACACATGGTGCAGCAGATCCTCCAGCGCTTCCGCTTCATGTACTCCTCGCCTCAGTCCACTCCTCTGCCTACCGGTCACTCGCTCTCAGCTCTGCCTTCGGATGAGTCCGTAGAGCCGAGTGGCCCGTATCCAGAGCTTGTGGGCTGCCTCATGTATCTGATGACCTGCACTCGACCTGACCTGGCATACCCTCTAGCATCCTTGCCACGATATGTCGCTCCTGGCCGTCACAGGAAGGAGCACATGGATGCCGCTAAGAGGGTGTTGCGCTACTTGTGCAGTACGTCGGGCATGGGGCTAGTGCTTGGAGGGCGAGACCGAGTTGTACTTACTGGACACTCAGACGCTTCTTGGGCGGACGACCAGGCTACTCAGCGGTCGTCTCAGGGTTACACCTTCAGCCTTGGCTCTGGCTCAATTTCTTGGCGTTCTACACGCTCTTCTTCTGTTCTCGGCTCCAGTTGTGAGGCTGAGATCTACGCCACAGCCATGGCTGCCCAGGAGCTATGCTGGCGACCTATCTGCCTGACCGACCTGGGGGAAGAGCCTCGTTCTCCTCCAGTGCTGTACGTCGACAACAAAGCTGCATTGCCATGCCCTTGTGTGAGGAGCACAGACTGGAGAAGAACGAAGCACATCGCCCGCTGGTTACTTCCTTGCTCGAGAGTTGCAGCAGCGCGGTCAGCTTTGTATTCGTTACGTGGCCACTGAGGCCAACACTGCTGATGTGTTCACCAAGGCGCTTCCGCCTTGTGACCATCAGCGCTTCTGCACTCTGCTAGGCCTTGTGCCTACTGGACCTCATTTGCCTTACTTTGACATGCTTGTACTGTGATCACTATATATATATATAACTTGCATTGAGAGCTTGAGGTTAAGGAAAAGGAAGGGAAAAAAAGGCATCGTGACGTCTTCTAAGCAACTGGTAGGACGCAACGGAAGCATCATGTTGTGCAAACTGCTATATGGGAATTTATGAAGCAGGGGCCATTGCGACATTAGAAGGCAGTGATACTTTTTAGGAGACGTCAACAACCAAACCCGATTTGCGAGAGCAAGATAAGCAATCCGCCTTTAAACGAGATCCGCTTGTCAGAACTAGCTGTAGAAAGTAAGAATGAAGAAAGGAGGGTTTGCACTAGCAGCAGTTGGCATACATATAGGAAACCCTAATTGGGTTGTACTCGCTATAGAGTACCCCACTGCAGGCTAGAGCATAATATTCTGACACACCCCCATAGCCAAAGTGGGGTGTAATCAGCAGAGAAAGCAAAGCAGTACAAGCTCAGGGTGGATCACAATGTCACCACACATTCTGAGCACAAGTTTAAGAAGCAATAGTTTAAAGTGCACAATTATGAGCAAAGCTAGAGGCAGTTACAGAGGGCAAGTGAGGAGGAGGAGGGCTGGCGAGAGGAGAGAAGAGTGGAGGCGACGACTGAAGCTGCAGACACACGGGCAACAGACGGCTCTGGTGCAACTCTAGTGGCTACCGGGAGCAAGGGCCCCGGAATACAGGAGTAACAGGCTCTGCGTCTGATCAGCAGCGACAGGAGCAACGGACCCACGGGCGACAGGTGCAACCGGCTCTCTGAGCTACCGGTGGCTATCAGAACCCCGGAATACAGGCGCTGCAGACGACACGACGGCTGCCTCCACCCAACCTCCTCCAACTGTCCCACACCCCCCAACACACACCCCCTGCTGAAACCCTAGCTCCACTCCCATGGCACCCCCCTTAAACCCTAAACCCTCGGCTCCCACACACCCACCCCCCTGAGCAGCAGCTGCAGCAGTGGGAGACGGAGGAGGAGGAGGAGCAGGGGACGGCTGACAGAGACGGCACCCCCATACGCTCCACCCCCAAACCCTAATTCAGGAGTACGGGCAGCAGCAGGGGTGGGGCGCCGTCAGAAGCGCGAGGGACGGCGTGCAGCTCAGTGGGAGAGGAGACCGGGCGCCCGCGGGCCAGGCGCAGCCCGTACGAACCGCGCGCAGGCGGCCCGAGGCGCGCGCGGGCCAGGCGCAGCCCGTACGGGCCGCGCGCGGGCCTGGCGCAGCCCGTACGGGCCGCGCGCGTGCAGGACAGGCCGCGCGCGGGCCTGGCGCAGCCTGTACGGGCCGCGCTCGTGCAGTACGGGCCGCGCACGGGCGACGGGGGCGACGCGCGGGTCCCCGGGGGCGCTTCGGCGGGCGACGGGGGGAGAAAACCGCCGCGCGCCTCGGGGCGCACGGCGGGCAGAGAACCGCCGCGCGCCTCGGGGCGCACGGCGGGCAGAAAACCGCCGCACACCTCGGGGCGCACGGCGGGATGAAAAATCCGTCGCACGCCACGAGGCGTGCGACACACAGAGTAGCAGTAGCAGTAGCAGCGGAAGGCTTAGGTGGTGGGCCCACCCACAGGATCGACCCAGGAGGGTCGACCTGCTCTGATAGCATGTCAGAACTAGCTGTAGAAAGTAAGAATGAAGAAAGGAGGGTTTGCACTAGCAGCAGTTGGCATACATATAGGAAACCCTAATTGGGTTGTACTCGCTATAGAGTACCCCACTGCAGGCTAGAACATAATATTCTGACACCGCTTTCGTGTATACCAGAAGCTCCGTAGTACACATGTCATAAGTTTGATGAGCCCGTGGAAGCGAATATGTATCCGTAATATCACAACTATTATCCAATTGCTTCAATCCATTCTCCCACAACATGCTAGTAAGATGCGTACAAATGGCACAGGTCAGTGTGCACAAACCAGATTGGGAGCCATAATTTAGACGTTCTCAGGTTTTTGGCTGTACCAAAGATTCACGTGGATGTGCTGGTTTTTTGTATAGTTAACAGGGTGCAAGCCTTCCGCGCGCAAGCTTTGCGTGCGATAAATATGTATTTGTGGGAGAACTCAAGAACGCGTGTGTGATAACTTTGAGATATAACACGCCAAATTGATATCCTTCCGCATTTGTCGGTATGACCGTGTAAGAACATGTAAGAAGCTTCTGTGAGAACCTTTAATCGAAGCGAGGTATACGTCACAACGTATCCGAATACGCAACATGTACACCTCCCATGGGCTACTTCATGGGGTGGTAGTGGCTATTTTCATAGAGTGCTCAGTATCCTGGTCTTCTTGACGAAATGTGAAGGCGCACCAATATGAAATCAGATTCCTTGGCATATATCCGTGCGTGCTATCAAAACGGGCCCATATCTTCCAACAACGGCCTTCAACGAGTTATAAACTGGGGGCTATGCTAATGAACCTGTGCTGTCTGATACACAGTAGGAAGTTACCTACTGGCAGCTGTCAGAAATGCAATCCTTGCAAAATCAAATGCTCGACACCAAGATTTTCAACATTGACACGTGGAAGATTCTCTATTATGGTGGGTGACGAATTCGTGCTCATAAGTGTTGAGGAGATCTCCTCATAAGAACTTCCGCATAAGAATGTCATGTGAATGGCAGCAACCGCATGACCGTTGCATACAAAAATTGCACGTCCGCAACAAGGCCGCCGGAACAACTCAAACTCTATATTTTTTAGCAGCGGCGCATCTCAAAAATATATTAGGAAGTGCTACGATAACGTTCGATATTATGAAAGTAGCTAGGTACAATAATTGAATAAACTCAGTCATGTTGTTTCGGCAAATTTCAGCGTGAAGGCGCTGAGTGATTGAGAATAGTGGTACCCAAGATGGCAAAATGTGCTCGAAACGGCTGGAAACTGCATCTTTTTTATTTTTTAAACTTTACTTTACTTTAGGTCATCGCAACATTCTAGCTTACCACGGTAAGAATACATAGGGTGGACAATGAAATCCATGGCAACGTCCAAGCAGTGCCCGATGGGTAACCTCCGGCACGATTCCGATGGCTGTATGTGCAATCACACAAAAGAGAGAGTCGCCTCACGAAATATTTTAGATCCCATAGAATGGGAAATAAACTCACCCTAAAGTCCAGCGAGAACCTGGAAGAAACCCTCTCTTTCTCTCTCTTCTTCCTCTTCCCTTTTTTTTTTTTGGGTTGCGAAGCAACCTATTACAATCGTTATGTACAATTTTTTTTTCATCGTTATGAAAAAAAAATAGCGAATCGTGGCTAAGTGATTCAGTGCTGTGTATTTGCCACGACAATTTAGCACGTGCCGTACCACATTCTTTCACATTTCCTAGGTAGTTCGCCTTGACTGGTAACCTATACTTTATCGATGAAACATAAACATGACTTGCCAAAATGATGTACCGTAACTGTGAATGCGTGACCGTTTATTCGGTAATGCATATGCCGTAAAAAATAATGTATAGATGAAGTATAATGATGATTGAGTGCAAAATGCATAAATATACATGCATATACGACTGTGGTGAATATACATGTGCTCTGTTTATTTCGGTATAGGTCC